GGAAAGCACGGGAGATCACTTCGCCCACTGCCTCATCGCCTTTGAAAATGTCCACCGCAGTTGTGGACGAAACGTCAGGAAGAAATTCCCATGAAAATAATTTCTATATGTGATTTGACCGGCCGTGGAAGCCTTCACATTTGTCATGACTGCTTTCAAGTCCTCAGGGCTTAAGAGAGTCCAGGAGGCAACAGTGATGATAACAACTCCTTGATTCCTCTTGGTGTTAAACAGCTCGCCCACTACAACGCCCCACCCATACAGCCTACTCCGGGGGTGCCCTACGGCTGTTTCCCTAAACCCCACAAGGTGAGAGTACAACCCCAGGCTCCTCCCGCGTCGTGACTGTTGCTCTCAAGCATCTGTCGTTACTTTGGCAAACATGCTGAATAGATGGTACGTGTTTGCCTACGAAAACATTCGATTCTAGTGACGCTGGGCGGCCGCCCAGGCAAGCAGTAGAAGAGGTAAAAGGTTGGGGGGGCGACGCAGCCGAAACGATCATCTAGGTTGCGGGGTTAGTTTGGGCGCGTGGCGCACGTAGAGATGCGGCGCTGCTCGTCGACTCAGCGGCGCTTAGCTCATTGCTGGGTTCTGCTGTAGGTGTGCCGTGAGTTCCAGCGCGGAGCGTGTAAGCGCGCAGAGTCCGAATGTCGCTTTGCGCATCCCGCCGACTCTGTGACTGCCAACGAGGACGGCACGGTCACTGTCTGCATGGACGCAGTCAAGGGCCGCTGCAACCGCGACCCCTGCCGCTATTTCCACCCCCCTCTGCACCTCCAAGCCCAAATCAAGGCCGCACAGTCGCGGGCTAGCGCGGTATGCTACGCAGTCTTAGGGCGCACGCTAATCAGCCTTTTAGTTGATGTTGTGTTGTTTGGTCAGTCATACAGGCAGTTTTTTTTCTGTTCTTTTCGTTGTTGTTTTCGTTGTTGATTTGCCTCCCTTGGCCTGCTTGTGGTCGGCGCGGGCAATGGACGCTCACCTCGTCAGTCATTGCCCAGCCGACGGCCATTTTGCCTAGTTACCCGCTCTGAGTTGATTTTTCCGTTTACTAAACCCGTTTCTGATCAGCCTCAGCTCACCTAGCTGATTGGTCCCTGAATCACCTCATTTCCCCCCGTTTGTCTCGGTCATCCTCATGACCACTCCTCTTGCGATCAAGCGACTTTTGGTTTACTTCCCCCAGCCAACTAACCAGAGTTTTTGAGTTTCGCTTCGCCGGCCCTCAGTACATCGGCTCATGCCCCAAGTTTAGCACTTTCTTTTGGTAGCATCAACTGATTAGTTTAGTATGGCGCCTCCTTTGAGTGAAGCAGCTGCAGGCAAACGTGCAAACTCCTAGAGTGCAATGATAGCGCGGCTTCTCTCTCTCAGTGTCCCCCAGTTGGCAGTTTTATCATTTCTTAGATATGTAGGCGGCCAGTAGAGCAGTGTCTAGAGCAATTAGAGCCTACCAGCCTCCCTCGAGCTTTAACCACTCAAAGACTCATTGCGTTTAGGAATTTGCAGTTGCCCTTCTATGAACTTACTAGAGTTGTATGTAGTTGTATGTGTCCTCTCTTGCAGGATCACCCGCCCTCTCTTTTTCGAGGCTTTGCATGCCCATTGCATATGAATAACGTTTCTTCCCCTAGGATTTGGAAGTTGAACACCAATGAGCCGCCTACTAGTTGTGTTAGAGGAAAATATCATGCCCCCCACTGATATTTGACGCTTTCTATTCGCTGGCAGCCAATTCGCATGCTTTCGATCAGTTGCGTGTTTTAACGCACAATTTTTGCACAATGCCAAACCGTTTTTGCCATCCCGTTCCATGATACGTCGGCCGTGGCTGATTGATTAACCCGAGCCGGTCGGGTAAACCACGCGCCGCCCCTGACATATCTTGGAATGCGACAATTGTCAGCGAAAGCATGAAATATTTGCGCACATTAATGGAGAAATAAATTTCTCATTTGTCTTAGTAGTGGAGCGCAATGTGTCGCCCCCTGCCCCTTGATCTATGGCCGGGATGTCTATTGGTTGTTTGGGGGGGCGACTGCCACTTCTGGAATTTTAATCGTTAAATTTATGGTACCGGCGGAAACTGGGAATTCTTCCTGCAACGTGCAGCATTCTTCCTCACGCTGTAGCGTTTACTTGGATTATGTAGTTGCAATGGGTCCAAGAGCAAACGGACAAACGTGCTAATAGTCATCAGCACAGTTGCAAAGAGAAAAAGACTAGAGTATCGGATTCAGGTCGGGCGAGTAGTACCGTTACCACCGAAATCAAGAAGGCCTACTGGCTGAATTGTGACGTCACTTAAAGTAGTCCGACCAGGCATAACGCGTAGCGGAGTATATGATGAATCAACTGTACGAATATGAATATTTTAGACAAAAATAATGTCTTCAGGAATTAATGTGCTTTTTACATTGTTTGATTTAAATGATTAGCCTTTCTATTCCTAAAAAATGAACGTAGTTGACTAGCCACAAATATTTTAATTTCAGTTATAGCTTAATATTTCATGTTTCCGAAGTGTTCTAATTGTTTTAAATAGTGAAGAATACAATTGCTAATAATCTACCAGCTTTATTTAGGGAGAGTATCTTTCTTTTATTCCCCTTTCCAATGGTGTCATTTCTTTTGCCACAATAATTATTTAAAAGAGTATTGATGACAGAATTTATGATAATCTTTACCGAGCTTATAGTACTATGCAGATCACATTGGGGAAACTCTGTTAGCAAATGATTATCTGTTATGTATCGTAAAGTTGTTGTTGACAAAAACGTCTTTTTATTGTGTAGGTACTGCTAAAAAGTTATCTTCATCACATTCCAAAATTTTGTTGAAAATGAGATAACCATACAAAACGATATTTGTTACATGGTCTTTTGGAAATTTAAGCTTACCCCTACTCAAATTTTTAATGAGTATGCGACTGTCTTTAACTTCTATTTGATCTGTAAATGTTAAATTTGACTGGCATATTTGGCATTTAAATTTCTTGGACAAAATGTAACAACAATATCCTGCTAGGTAGGTAATGACAGGCATTTCATGTTCCACATTTTCCAAATCACACCGAGAAATTTGTAAATTTGGGACAAACCATTCCGACTTTGAAACTCTCTCGTTGTCAAAAATATCATCACTTTCATAAAAATGTTTTATTGTTAACATTCCAAAGCAACGAGATTTTAGCGACATCAATGACTGGATTCGAAGTTTTTTCTCGCACTCATATAATTGCCGAATG